GCTCGGGGTCTCTTTGCGTGATAGAATCCGAAATGAGGATATCCACCAAAGAACCAAAGTAACCGACATAGCCTGAAGAATAAGCAAGCTGAAGTGGCCGTAGGCTGGTTACATATTCGTAGCTTGAAGAACCGACAACCGATTAGAAAGAAAATTTCTTGAGTGGCGACCCCGTACGAGCAAACGCAGTGTGAGACGATCCCCTACTAGATGGAGTGGTGGCTCAGGACCGTTCCTTATGACAGTCTATGGGGGAGGCCTATGTTCAGCAGTGGACAGATAATGGCTGAAATTAGTATGATGATGATGATGAACGTAGAACGGCAAGTTGTATAAACATCTCTTAACAATGCTTAAGAGACTTATCAACTAAACTTCAAAAATAAATATTTTTAGGGTTGAGTAATAAAGAGTTACTCGTAGGTATATTTGTACAAGTACATATATCTACTGCGATGACAATATATGTCACTTTTTCATAACTTCCAAGAATAATACCAACACATTGTAATAACAGTACGCTCGCACCGAAAATTCTTCAGTGCAACTATGTCTCATATATGTAAAATAATGCGGCTGATATATGCTTAGCCATCTTGGAGAGATGGGGGTATCGGGGGTGGTAGAGACCCCCTCGAGCGACTTATTCCGATATAATCAATAACTTAGTGAGATCCCCTTTGCATCCGGCCGTGTGACAGTTTCTCCAATCGAAGGGTTGTTTTTTACTTTTTTTTTGTTCAAACAGTGTCTGATTAGAGACACGACGTGTAGGGGCTTTGACGTCGTTTCACGAATGGCTACGCTCGCTTGTGCTCATTTCTAGTATTTCGGTAATAAGTGTTTGTTTGCCCTTTGATTTCTTTTTACGACATATGCAAATGTTAGTTTTGATTGGACAAATTGTAGTCGGTCTCTTTTTTTTACGTATTTATTTTGTCTACATTTTCGATAACGATTTACCATCAGCCAATTATGAGCCAATTTTAATAATTATTGTACAATTATTCCTGTGTCGAACCATATTAATAATATTATGTTTAATCTCTGTTTTTATTGCGAGACAAAATCTAATCTAAATAATTTATCACTTTGTCATGTCCACTTGCCTTTAAAAATCATCAATGCAATATAAAATCATCAATTTGTCCACACTGTAGGTAAATACTACATTAAAACAATATAATACGATTGATTAGCTAAACCTAAAGTATTATGTGTCATTATAATCCAAACAACAAATATTTTAAAGCACAACTCAGGACACCTAAATCCGAGGCGAGACATTTAAAAAAATTACTTTGCCATCGAGTTTGAACCTGGGATATCTTTTACACAATTTTATTGTAGCGACACGGAGTTTGTCGTAGTATGAATAAATATTTTTTTTTATAAATTTCAAAGTATTTGTATGTGTTTTCTTTTTGTTAGTTTCCAAAGAAGGAGTTAATTAATTAATATTTAATTCATAAGCTTTTTTTGCGATATTCAAAATTCTTTTTGCAAGAACTTGTCGATCGCCTATGATTAAAATAGCTTTTTTTGCGGCTCAATATATATTTGTCAGAGAGGGGATGTTAATTATATATCATAATGGTTTATTAATATATATTACAATGGCATGGAATAGAAACTGTATAATTTTCTCTTATTTTGTCTTAAAAATAAGAGTATATTGTTTATATTCTCTTTTTTAAAACTTATTAAAAAGGAGTTTCACAGTTCATGTATATTTTTCAACCGACTTAAAAAAGAAGGCGGTTTTCAATTCGGTTATATATTTTTTATGTTTGTTACCTCATAACTCCGTCAATTGTAAACCGATTTGGGAAATTCTTTTTTTATTTAAAAGGACATTCATTTACTTATATTTTACAGATTAGTACCATAAAATTTGTATTAAAACCAAAAGTTTATAGATTTTAAATCAAAATAACTGGTTTTGCTACAATTAAAGTTTTTTTTTTGTAAAATACATTTAATTATTTATGTTTATTATGTATATTTTACATGATTACATCATGGTCAATTCTAAAATGAGATTTATTCCTTTATTTTCCAGTTTACTTATAATTTTTACTGGTTACTGTTACTTTTAAAAGCGTTTATTTAACTTGCTTTAAAATGTCTTTCCGTTAAAAATTTGCAATCTATTTTTGAACCATTTGTTGGCGTCCGATTATGTTAAATTTTTATAAATACTTGACAATAATGTAATATTATGGTAGTATTGACCTCGTCTGATCGTGAAGATGGAAGGTGGTAATAGGATCTCATAAACTATGTGTGTGATATGTCTTGATACAAACTATAATCCTATGTAGTCTGATTATTATCATTATTATTTCAGCAATTAACTGTTTACTGCTGAACATAGGTCTTTCCCATAAGCAGGGTTTAGGGGTTTTGTCAGTAATTGCCACGCTTTGCAGGTTTGGCAACCGCAGTTATAGCTTTGGTGATGTTTTTTAGAGTGAAATTGCTACCCAATCCTCGACCAATTTTTTCAATTTGGCTACATTTTTTTATGTTTGTTACCTTAGAACTTCGTCGATTTTAAACCGATTTGGAATTTTTTTTTTCATCTGAAAGGATATACATTTACATTGGTTCCATAGAGATTTTACCATAATCGGTACAGTAGTTAGTTATTAAATAAAAGCTTTGTCACAATTAAAGACGGTTTTTTGTGGGATATTTAATTAGTTTTTGGAACACTATCTCAAATTATTGTGTATTTCTTTTACTGTTACTAAAGTTAATTTATGCAAGCTTTATTGGTAAATTTAATATACTCCATTGTGTAATTGTCATAGATGCTGTTAAAGCTTAATAAAATAATTAATAATAATAACAATTGTTTTAATAAATGTTTGCTACTGTGATAATAATACATGTATGTATGTGTTTTCTATAAATGATCCCGAATTAAAAAAAAAGGTCCCATTACAGGACAATAATAGCAATATGCAACACTGACAGCTCTCAGGTAATTTTAGACCGAACCTTAATATTCTGTCTCTTTGCTTTGTACATATATATAGCACATAACCTGTACCTATGAGTATATTGTTTTATCATAATCATGATATCAGCCGTTACCTGTCCACTGTTGAATATAAGCCTCCTCCATAAGGGGAGTTTTGTTTATAGTTGCCACGCTTTACAGGCAGGTTGGCAACCGCAGTTAGGCCTTTGGTGATGTTTTGAGAAGGACGCTGCTGCTCATCTTTCGACACTTACAGGATAGGAAGGGGAGACCCATTTTATGTCATGACTACATGGCACTAATACTGTATCATATTGTATATTTAAAATCAATATTTTTAAGCAAATTTTAAAGGATCTGCCTTTTTGTGATTATATTTTGTAACGAACTTTGATTACGTCATCAATTCTGAACTAATTTTTACCATTTTACGCGACTAACTAAAAAGAATATACCTAATATTTTTAGTGTTCATGTGTGTACATGTATGTGAGTTCCTTTATACCACTATAACTTATAAATGCCTGAACTGATTTGGACGTATCGGGTATTGTTAGAATTCTTACTGTATCGCAAATAACACTAGTTATATATTTTTTTAAATAGGTCACCTTTTGGTTGTACAATCGAGTTGCTAGTTTTTCATTTTGTATCAAAAAATAGCTCTTTGCGAACTCTTGTATATAGGTACACCTTTTTTTATTCTAAACTCAAGAGAAGAAAAATAATAATTTAGAGTTCAGAGACATAACACCTTAGTCCCCAGGAACGGCAATATATGAAGGGTATCATGGGCGACATAATATATTTTGTTATGTCCATTGTATTGTTTATGTTTATAAGCGACATATAGCATATTCCATCAGGTGGTCCGACAGCTTGTTTGCCATTTTAAATTACATGCAAAAAAATATTTTGTATATAATTGTAATTTGTATATAATCGTAATTTGTATATAAAAAAGATCATTTATACGTGTATTTTGACAAAATTTCTTTAATTTTGACGTTTGTTTGTAGAGCAAAATCCACTTGTGTTGTTGATTTTTAACAATTTACTATTTTCGTTTTATCATTATTTTTTTATAAAAGCCTTTACAATTGAGATATTTATGTTTATTCCATTTATTCAGGTAGGTACCCGCTATTTATTCAAAGTTAATAATTTGATGTATTACTTCAAGCTGCTACCAGGATTCATAGATTCTTAACTACAAATATCTTTTTCGATATATACCAGAGGGAGACTTTGTACAAAAGTCGTTTGCTTGGGTACCTCTGTCTCATTTGTGTTTCAAGCGTAAAGCAGTTGTGTTTGCATGGTTGTGTTTCGGTTTGAAGGGTGGGATATGGCGTGAATTTACAGGGTACAGAGGAATAATACCTGAGTCCTCAGGAATGGCAACACATGGCGGGTATCATGGACGAAGCAGTATACTCTGTTATGTCCATGGTATTACTCATGTGTATAGGTGACGGTTACCACTTTCCATCAGGTGGGCTGTCAGTTTGTTTGCTATTCTAAGTTGTATAAAAAATATAATTACTACATATTAATAATACAATATATGAAAATTTGTATTATTAATATGTAAAAACAGTATAGGAAAATACATTGAGATAGGCTGTCTGCTTGTTTCCTGTTATAATACCGACTTAAACTTTGATAAAATTAGCATGAAATCTACATGGAAATAAACCTTTTCGATTAGAATGTATCATTAAAATCGGATTGAAATTAGGATGTTATAAAAGGCGATTAAGGAAATGCAGCACGAGTTAAGGAAGTATCAGTGCAGAGAAGAAAGCCATGAAATAAAATTCTATACCCAGCCACTTGGCTAGGGTGGTAACAGTAAGCTAATATCTTCCTTACTCGTAAGGACAAAGTCATATCCAGCAGTAGGAAATTTCTACTTTAAAGTCGGTTAATATTTCCCAAATAGTAATAAATAAGTCATTTAATTATATTTTAATACGTAACACAAAGGCATTAAAATAAAACTCCAGTATCTGATAAACTAACTTTGAGTTTATTTTTACCATTTACACTTGACAATGTATTCGTAATCTGTTGTTGGCTACGGGTGTTAGTTCGTAGGCGCGTAGCGCGTAGTGAATGCTACGCACACGTCATGCTCGAGAACGGAAAATATATAATAATACGCTACCAAATGTAAAAGAACATTTGGATACGCTTATACCAAATAATAATACATTTAGACAAAATTTTAATAGACATAAGAAATTATTGATCTTAACGATCTTTAATCTTTAATTTTGGATCCTTTATTGTTAATGAAATTACAACAGAAGATACCAAAATGTATTCACGTACAATAGAAACCAATATGAATTTGTATAACATGTTATTTTATAATATAGGAACCGGTACATTTCACTAGTAAAGAATTTAAAAATAACTTTAGTATTACAATACAGTTATTAGGAACTATGATAGACGTGAGTGCTACCTTTTAAGATTATAAAATGATTTGTAACCAACACACTTAGAGCTACGGCTAAAGAAATTGTATACAGTCAAATCTTTCTAGAATAACATAATTATAATATTAAGGTACAGTGATAAATACAAATAATAGAAATAAATTAAAAACATAACCTATGCGAATAAACAAACAACATGGCCGTGGCGGCACCCTCTTGTAGCAGACACAACAGACTAATCCGAATTAATCTTAAATATTAAAATTTGTATTCGGAAAGTATAGTGAAACTCTAGATGCGATAATATTGAAATATACATAGGAACCATGATTCATTCCGCGTTCTCACGACTGCGGAGATACAACATCGCACTACCGACTTGTTCACCTAATCTAACTCAAACTTACATATACTCCCGATTACAAACCGAAAATAATATCTTCTAGAACGCTAATATCGTCCGAGCAACGTTACGCGGTGGAGTTCAGATAACATAACATTCTAGACAACAAACCTCACGATTCAGGAGCTATGTAGTTATTAAACTTTATTAACGCAGTCAAGAATAATTGTGTCGTACGTACAAAACGCGCGCCTTCGCGTTTTTACTTCGTCAACGGCGCTTGTGCACGCTGCGTCTACCAATCTAAAATATTTAAAATATCGTTGACCACAAGTAACTATATAATAATGATTTATTTATTTGTTGTGCAAAGTTTTAGTGTTCTTGTTTGGAGAACTTTGAATGTGGAATAAAGAAAAAAAAACATCCGTTCAGACATAAATAAATATTGCACTCAACTCTTTGCTGACACGGATGTCAATTTACTCGCACATACGATTATATATCGATTATATATCGATTTAATAATTTTCAGCATGAAAATATCAATATAATATTTATAAAATGTAATACAATATTCTAATAAACCTCCAGAGATATAAAAGGAGACGCAGTGTGTTCAAGTGTCGGTTCATTGCACACATAGACATAACAAGGACCGCCGGTAACCGGTGGAATAAAACAGCACTTTACAAAAAAACAAACTCAATTTTGTAGTAGGATTCACTCGTAGATAAAATATTGTAGTACACTCCGCTAGATAAAATGTAAATATGTAAAATATTTTAAATAACGTGTTCTGTGCCATCGAAAATATAAGGGACTCCACGCACACGATAAAGTAATGAATATACATGCTAGAGGGGCGAACGCAGAGACGCGTCGGGCGCACGCCGCGCCGCCGCCGCGCTGCATGTACCTCCATGCCTTTGGACTCACTTACGCCACTACTAATAATAATCATTACAATATCAATAAAAATTCAAGAATCACACTTAGTTCCAAAATAAACTCACTTGTATGCGAGGTAGGCTGAGCGCTGGCGCGCAGCCCGAGTTTCGAGTTCGTTCGTTTTGGAAAAGTTTGCTACGATAATAATTATTATAATTAACTGTTACCAATAAGCCTACGCGGTGTCGTCGCGTCTCCACGGGCGGTATTATGTGGAGTACCATGCGGTAGCCCGCTTGCCCTACGCCCACGCATCTACTATCTGGCGTTCGCAGCGAAACTACAGTACTAGGCGTACTAAACTTTTATAGAACGACGACATTGTCATTCAGTGCCAGCGAACAATGAGTCAGGTAGTATACGAGCACGTTGTGCAATTCTGTTCGGTTCATTTTCAAGCTGTTCTTGGATTAGCGATGGAACCCGCAAGAGAAGACGACCGCTCTACTGCCTAACATACGTACCTAACTTCGCTTCATGTTTAAAAAAATCATATACGTATATCACTATATATATCTTCATACATTTACGATGCGTCAGGAACTTCTTACGAGAACGTATCTATGCCTAAAATTAGAACGATTATATGTATGTATTACATAGCTTTAAACAATAATTAAATCGTAATTATCAATATCGATAATATTATATGCCATAAAGATAGGAACTTGCTTTCCTGGGAGTTGATGGTAAAGAATTGCGCGTCGCCGGCGCGGCCGCTGACCACGTGTAACCACAACGATAAACGTATATAATAAAACCTGTCTAACGTATGATATGAAGTGCGGCTAGGCAGCGCGGCCGGGCCGACGCTCGCCGCCGCCGCCTCCCAGTGTGCGGCGCGCGGCGCAGGAGCCAACCGGTAGGAACACGGACTCGGCTACGAATACCACCAGGAACAAGCACGAGGCGCGGACGCCACGGCTTCTACGAGATTATTATAAAAACGGGACAACAACGGTCGGCTCCCAATTAACCTATACTTAAACGACTACAAGCTTTAAATGTATAACTAGGAAAGTGCCGCTTCTGCGGCTACATTCATCAACGAAAAGAAGCATTAAGAGCTAATAGTGAACTGCTGCGTTGTCGGACAACGGAGAGAGCGAGGGGCTCTAATAGTAGTAACTATACATTTCGTCTGTGTAGGATTAGTGGCCGGCGCTGGCAAGGGGTAGTTCGCCGGGTGGTGGGAAGCGAGGCCCGGGAGCACAGAAGTTGGCATTCGGGTCCTTGGGCGAAGCAGCATCCTGCGCAGCGCGAGCGGCCAGCAACGTTATTTGATTGACGACGTCTTCCATCTCATGAGTGAGAGGTTCTGGCTGCGGTGGAACAGGTGGAGGTGGTGCGGCGTTCCGAAGGTGAGCCTCCGTGTCTGCGTGGCGACGAAACTCGACGACTGTTCGGAATCTTTCGCCGGGACACGAACGACATTCGAGCGCCGGTTGGACGACGCGTATGACGCCTCGTGCTGCTTCTCGGCCCGCGTAGCATGAGCGAGCCTGATGCGCCTGCAGTGGCGTTGGTGAAGGGAATGCTACTTTGCAGTGCTTGCAGACGTAGCATAGATCAAAATCGAGCTCGCGGGCACCTACGGGGGGTTCCGTAGCTGGCGGTGGAAGGCGTAAAGTCGAAGCCCCAGGGTCAGCTGCAATGTGCCGGATTTGCTCCAGAGTTGTTGCTGGTAGTTGTAGGACGCTAGCGCCATTGCCAGTCTCTACTATGAGACCTTGTGGTTGTGGTTGAAGCGCGTTGGGATTACCACCTGTAACAACAAATAATTAATTTAAAAACGTCTAACATTTGTTTATATTTTAAATAAGGATACACATTAATTTAGTCTTGCAACTGCTACATTTCTTTTATATGAGTGTATGACAAAACATAAATTTTATTTTTATTTTATTATTTATAAAAGATGCAAATTGTACGTTACTCAAGACTGCAAAGGGGTTAATCCACTTAGAGTGAGGGTCGCGCTACAGCCGTGAACTGTCCTTCAGACTTATATGCTACGTCTTTTCAACTTTGTCCTTGCATTTGCAACTTGATATCGAATTGATTATAACTTGCAAAATAAAAATTGTGTCATTTGTAACTCAAAGAAGGCTTGATATTTATTATGCCTTCTCGATTGGACGTAATATATAATCTCGTTTGATCTTAGGGAAGTTTTCAACCACGGTTCCCAAATTGGATATTCCATTGTTCGAGTATAGCTTAGCACCAGATAAATGCTGTTTACCTTACCGCAAGGCGATTGTACATGCGTGATGCGTTTCTAACGAGCCCGACCCGCCTCTGTAATTGATTCGGACGCTGTTTTATGCGCCTTATATTCACGAATGCATAATACATAGGTTTCGAGTCGCCGTCGCGAGTTTTATATCGGGATTGGTCTGAGCGTATCGTTTCAAAGTAGGGCTTAGCGCAAAACTGAAAGAATAATGGAGCAGGTTGACATTGCAGATTACGATTATTTGAAAACGCTGTTTGTTCCTAACAAAGGCATTTATATAAAATTTCTGTATCTATATGAAAGTAATATAATGAATCATACTGAAGATTGAAGCGAGAATAACTCTAACTTTATATTATTAGACAATTATAGAAAAGTTAAATGTACAAGTACTCCGAAGCATAACAGTTTACAGTATGCGAAATAATCTTGTGCAAAACGGCGCTTAGCTTTCAATCAGTGTTAACAATCGGTCTGATTGGTAGGTCGTGTTCAATCTAATGAGACCTTGGTCATACGCGTGTCATGTTCCAACCAACGAACATGCTAATGATGCACAAGACTAAATGTGGAAGGCAGACCAAATGTGGTAGGATTGGAAAGTTCGAACCTCATTTACTATGACCCAGTACGGTAAAGTTTAGAGGATTGATTATTGTATATTTTTATAATATACATAAAAAAATCAGGTTGTTACAAATCACATAATTTTTAAACTAGTAATTTTAGAATAGTTAGATAGATTTTGTTGCTTTTTAATGAAAGAAAATAAAGTTATAATTTGTGTAGGATACGTTCATCGGATCAGCTAAATGACAATAATTATTGTTTGTAAATCGAAAATATCGAAGTAATTGTGTAGCGATTTATTATATAATTTTTGTAAATTGTTAATCTGTCAAAGATAACCATTAAAAGTAATTTTGGTCGCTTAGTTTACTAGCTATTTCTTTGAAACACTCAAAAAATTCAATAACAAAGTCTTTAAAAATTACTTTGATTCTACTTTCATGCACGACATCACCAATCAACGATATTATAAAGAAACGATATGGCCCTTATGCGTTTACCATTAAGTTTGCATATCTAATTTGGTATATCTCGATTGCGTGTTGAAATTGATAAACCAATAAAAATCCACTTTAATTCTTTTATCTATTGCTTTGGATTTTCCAATCACGGTATTATGCATGATTTATGTAATTGAAAACCATAAAGTATTTAATTTTATCAGGCATCGTTGGCACAAAGCCGACTGCTATACGGCCCTGACGTTAATTCGCAACCCTTTCTGCCAATTAGTTTCAAAATAGCCACACTATTGTGCTGTTAACATGGCCACACATAGCACCTAACTGCTCTAATTATAGATGTTAAATTCAACCTTTACAGCTCTTTTTTAAGGTCGATAATAGATCAACGGTCTGCAGCTTGGGTTGGTTATTCCGTACGATGGCCAGGTTTAAGTCAAAGGGCTTCTTAATCCGGACTTGTAGGTCGTTACGCGTTATTATAACGCGGACTGAGTTGGCTATTTCTTCGCTCATTTACATCTCATTAAGGGCGCTATTATTGGACTAGATGGCGAATTGTACAGGATTATATTTGTAATTTAAAATTTAAAGGAAAATGTAGCAAAATAAATTTTAGGCATTCAAATCAATGTTCTACATTGAAACGACTGTAGCATAAAACTTTAAGAATCATCAAAAACAGGAACAATCTTAAAACAGCTGCATTCACTGGTACAAAAGTTTTAGTTCCCTAAATTATAATGAAGAGTAAATAGTAAATACGTGTGTTGACAATTATAATCCTAGATATTCCTAGATATATATTCGATGTTGTAGAAAACTGACACAGAAATATCAGCCTTGATAAGCAGTGGGACAAGGGTCTCTTTGTATTTATGTAAGTAGCCGTCAATATTATACCAAATTAGCAATTTTACAGAATGTCTGAATTCTATTTTTGTCGAACACATAAACATACATTTTATATCTATATTAATGTAATTAGACCTGCCTTTCGATCAAGTGCTTCGTTCAGCGTAAACTGGAAGGCGACTTTTATTAGTCGCATCAATTGCTCCGTATTCGGTAGCTAGTTAGGGCGAGATTCAAGATCGAACGATACATGTCTGGAACACTGCGTGATGGATGGTAATTAAACTAGATTGCCGATCTGACTTCGTAGCTGGGCCGGGCCTTAAAGAGGTGCTTATGTCTGTTTGATGTTCCGGTTGTGCTTGTTGGATTGTTATTTCTTGTATTTTAAAGGCGATTTCATTTTGCACACTTGCTGATTCGGGAGCTGCGATATTTTAAAAATAGTGTTCCTTTTTAAATTAGTCACAAAGATTGCATTGTTTCCGTTAGATGTCGTGATATCGAGATCTCTTATTAATTAACAAATAGATAAGTAATAATAACTTTCTATGATGTTATACAAGACTTAATTATTAAATCAACTATTTACAATTTTGGATTCTTCAATCTTCACTTTTATAAATTGATTTTATAAAAGTGGAGATTTTAAGTTTTCAAGTTTTAATTTGATTTCAAAATTATTTAAAATAGGATAGTTAATGCGGGAGTTCATTTATAATAATATATACCTGACTGACTGATTGATGTCTAAAAATTTTTGAAATAGGTTGAAAATAAATTTATTATGACAAAATTATAATAATATATATATAATGGAGAAAATGTACATATTTAAATTATTCTTAATAGTAGGCAATAGGCATTCAGAAAGCCTTGTTTCCTTGTTTGATGCGTAATTTCCATACAATTTCTATCACGGCATCAATCTTCGTACAGTGCATTATCGGGTTGCTTATTCAGCTAACGTCCCATCGCGCGGACAACTCGGGACAATCCGGGGCTGGCGGGACAGTTGGTGACAGCTGGGACATACGTCCGTCTCATCAATGTCGGTTAGTCTGCAATTAGCCTAACGGAGCTTTGGATGATGTCCTCGTTTATGGAGATGGAGATGGCTTCAGCTTCCTAAATAGTCGATGTTACTTTTAGATTGTTGTTACAAGATTCATAGGATGAGTTTTGTTTCAGTGTACTATTTATAAAATAGTACAAGAGTATAAGTATATAAAAGCGTATATTATTACTATTTTTTACTTTACTAGCTTCTACTCGCGACTTCATCCGCGATATGTACATGATCGGGATATGTAAATTAAACCAGACAAAGTTTATGCCTTTTTCCGTCTCATATACTACGTGTATACAAAATTTCATAACGATTAGTTAAACTGTTGAGGCGTGAAGGAGTAACAAACAAACCAACAGATTTTTACATGTGTTTTAATTTCAGTCGTTAACTGTCCATTGCTGAACATAAACCTTTCCTATAAGGGGAGTTTAGCCAGTTGCCACGCTTGGCAAGCGTAGCGTAGTTATGTTTTTAGAAATCCCTTTACTATTATGTTCCCTTAGTCGCTCCACACGACATCTACGAGAAAGGAAGAGGTGGCCTATTCTATGCCAGGACCACACGGCCACATGGTTTTACATACAGCTTATAATTTTTATAGATTTTTGCTATGAATATGAACTAATAAGTGGTTTAGGTAAAAAAGTGGGTAAATATATGATTTGGACTTTGATGAGTAATAGTTAAAAGTTTCATAACTACATGTTATATTTTAATGTAATAACTACCAGTTTACCTTACGTGTAATTTAGTCAAGAAAGCTCGATTTAGCGGACCTAGGCGCGCAGTTAGCTAGCGCTCGCGTCACAACTACTCAAGACTAAAGGTCCCGAATGGAACCGAAACTAGTCGAGCTTTCTCGACCAAATTATACGTAAGTTAAAATGATAGTTGTCAAATAACAATAATAATAACTTTGAGCGGTAGTATATCTTTTGCGAGTTTGAAAGCTATTTTACTTACTTGCTGGTTAGTTTCGATTTTTTTTCTTTGTTTCGATGTTGTTTATTTTTATTTTATTAGTAGCAATTTGATAATACTAATACGTGTCATATTAATGCTAATATCTAGATAATATTAAATACTTATATTGATTAAATACCGTTTAGTCGGGGTAATAATGTTTATTTGTATTTTTATGTACCAAATGTATGACAGTCTTTCTTTTGTTTTAATAAATAGATTTTAGATAATCTTTCGTAGTAAAACGTTTAAAAATGTATTTAACACCCGTTTATCGCGAGTTTAATATTTTCTTGGTAAGACGGCTGAAATTGCATAAAATTGCATATTGGAATGACAAATCTGCATTGTGTTAATTGATCATGCACAGGCTTTTAACGGCCATGTAATTTTAGACATAGTACATTTAGATAAACACACATAATGTTAACAGATTGAAACGATATTGAGTGTTTTGCGGGCTTTTCTCAACAGATAACACATTTTCAAACCCAGCAATAGTTTAAAAAAAAAAATGACGATTTAAAAGTGCATGTAATAAGTCTATTTGAATAAACATGAATTTGCATGCTGCAACACATATTGCGTAGGTACGGTTGACACAA